AATAATTTCATAAAATAAATATACGTTTTTTATAACAAGAATTACATTTATAATAATGGTAAAAATTGTATGTGTAACAGTGTTGACACATAACGCATAAAATTTTTTCATATATTACACATAAACAAGTTTTGACTAAATTTTGACGTGTGGCCGTACAGTAGCTATTAAAGGGCCTTTCACCCGATCACACTTTACCCATGTCTATATTAGACAAATATTTATCATGGCACTTGACAAAACGTCGGCGGAAAAATGATCAGTTTTTTGTTTATGTTAATGCATAGGGGTAACAAAATGCTGGTTTTATTAGGACAACTCACAGATAATTTTATTGAAATATGTTATATTTTATAAAAACAATTAAAATTAAATGCAAATTTTGTAAATAAACACTAATTTCACTAAAACTTATGTTAAAAATCAATTTTAATTACACAAAAACAAAATTTTAAACAAATTTTACAATTAAATGACGTTTGTTATCAGGACAGCGTTGTCTAAACAATTGTTTAGACAACACTGTCATAACGGCGTTATAGCGCAAATAAATGCTAATTTTTTATCATGATACAAATTTGACGTTTAGCATAATAAATATTTGACTAATATAGACAAAAGTCTAATGGAAAAGTAAAATGAAATTCCATCCGTATGACAAAAAGGAGTATAAAAGTCTTATGTTTTATATTTTTTGTGTTTACACTATTGGTATAAAACAATAATAAAGAATGATGTAAACTGATCTTTTCCTTTTCTCCTTACTTGTGCGCTCATGTGAAGGGGGTTTAGTTGTTAAGTAAACTTTTTTCTATAATGTGTACTTAAAGGCTCAGTTAGTCTCTACCATGGTATATTAATTATAAGGTAGTGTTAACAGAGCAGCTGATTGTTTTTCGCTAAAACACTTTTGATTTTTTTTACATGTATTTTGACTGTGTGCTGGCACTTTTAAGTGTAGGCATACTGTCAAACTCCATATATAAAAAATAAAATGAATTCGCTCTGTTTTTCTGAATTCGCCGACGACACTACCTTATAATTAATATATCTTGGTCTCTAGAGAAAAATAGTGATGTCAATGTTTTAAAAATAATGTACATCAGAAAATTTTAATTATTACGATTAATTGAAATACTTTAAAATTAAACATTTAAATTAATGTACTTCTTAAATTAGTAAATATTTATTAAAAAATTATCATACTAAATGTTATTGAAAAAATTAAAAAGTAAGAGAGGAAAAACTTTGAAATATGTATGTATGTCAAAGAAAATATAAAAGTTGACATTACTTTCAACCATAAGAAAAAAAGAAAAGACCAAGTAAGAAAATAAAAAATCGTGTTTCGATAAAATTTTTACATTTTATATTAATTATATAATAACATAATAAATTATATAATAATATTAATTAATCTAGCTTTAAACCAGACGTCGGCGCTAGTATTGTTCTGACAACGAAGATTTTCGGCAAATTACATGTACACAACACGATCGCATACGAACCTCTAAACAAGAGCATCAAAAATACAAATATTTTATTTAGTTGCTTGACAGCATTCAACAAAGCGGGTTGATGTCGCTTTGTTAAAGAAATTGCAAACACAACTTGAAAAAACAAAAACAACTTGCAAAAGCAAGAGCATAATTTACAAAAACAACGCACACTCTAAATAATTTTCTAGAATGCATAACAATGAAAGTAAATAAGTTAATCTTGTTTCATACTTTTTTTTGTACATTTTAATTAGAAATGTTATTTCTATGTGAAGAAATTATCATTCTTAAGTACATTGATTACACTTTGTTTATAAATATTCGCATTTTACAGTAATGCAATTTAATCTTCAAAATTAAAAATAACCAAATATTTTTTTCAGTGCAATTTCAATGAAAAAATGCCAATAGTGTGTGTGTAGTGGTGATTTTTTTATCTGCCTCTCTATCCGCCGGTATATGCTTTAAACACAAAGAAAATCAACTCTGCGCCTGTGTTCAAAAAAGATTTCGTTTGGCACAGCAAAAGTGATAATATTTTCCACCATAAGGAAATTTTATTTTACCATAGAACTTTTCTGCCGTTTGGCACACAGTCTTAAAGTGAAAAGAGGCAACATGAATTACATTTTTATTGGAAATTTCCAATAAAATACCTGTCAAAAACATAAAAATAAAAAGATAAAAGCAAAAATTGCCAATCAAATTTATAAACAAATATTAAATAAACAAAAATATTGAAATTAAATTAAAAATATTTAAAAAATTATCCCACTGATTTGTCCCCTGGTAAATTTTAGGTTTATGCCCACGTATTTTTCCAGTTTTAGCTTCTGTATATTAGAAATTATTCCTATTTTCTAAAAATTAGTTAATAATATTAATTTTAATCTTATATAATTATAATTATAAAAACAACATTATCTATTCTTTATTTCTTACAATACATGTTTAAATAAAACTTTTTTTCATAAATGTGAGTTTTTGGAGGAAAAAAGTACCAAAAGGGGTAAAAATGGGACTTATTGGTACTTTATAGTACTTCGACTGGTACTTTTTTTACTTAGAACTTAGAAACATGTAATTAAGCATCTATAAAAGTGGACTTTTTGGTACTTTTTCGTTCTTCAAAAGGTACTTTTTGAGTTTTCTATTAAATTGAACATAGAAACATGAAATTATGCACGTAGAGCCCGGAGTAAATGAGAATCTATAAAATGACACTTTTTGGTACTTTTTCGTTCTTTGACTGGTACTTTTTGAGCTTGCTGCAAAATTTGAACCTCGAAACATGAAATTAAGCACTTAGAGCCTGGAGTAAATGAGAATCCATAAAAGGGGAACTTTATCGTACTCCGACTGATACTTTTTGAGTTTTCCATAAAATTAAACATAGAAACATAAAAATAAATATGTAGAGCCCGGAGTAAATTATAATCTATAAAAAGGGACTTTTTAGTACTTTTTCGTTCTTCGACTGGTACTTTTTGAATTTTTTATAATATTGAACCTAGAAACATGAAATTAAGAATCTACACCCCAGATTAAGTGATAACATAAAAAAGGGGACTTTTTGGTCCTTTTTTGTTCTTCGACTGGTACTTTTTGAATTTTTTATAATATTGAACCTAGAAACATGAAATTAGGAATGTACAAAAGGTATTTTTTGAATTTTCTATAATATTGAACCTATAGGCATGAAATTAAACCTGTATGGCATGGAGTATGTGAGAACATATAAAACGGGACTTTTTGGAACTTTTTCGTTCTTCAACTGGTACTATTTGAATTTTCTATTATAATGAACCTAAAAACATAAAACTAAGCAATGAGGGACTTGAGTGAATCAAAATTTAAATGAGTATTTCTGGTAATTTTTCGTTCTTTAACTGGTACTTTTTGAATTTTTTAAAATATTGAATATATAAACATAAAATTAAACACGCAGTATCCTAATTGAACGAAAATTTATCTCGCTTACGTCCATTTTGCAAAAAGGGCTCGATATCAATCGAAATCTCTATAGGCCATAATTTTTGTTGGAAGAAAATATGTAATGTAAATATGTATGTATATGAAATCTTCTTCAGAAAATGACTTAAACGCACATAAATGGCTTTCAAATGTCGATGTCGACGAAAAAAACATTTTTAGGAACCGAAACCTACATTTATGAAAAACAAAATTATGAGGATCGGTCCGCCAATATAACCCTCTTACAGAAAATCAGTTTATAGCTAATACATCATTCCAAAAGTTATCATTATGATAGAATTATGGTAGAATTAAAAAAAATACTTTCAATTATAATTGACCCAATTCCATATTTAAGTCCCTAATCCGAAAATCACGGTGACGTTCTTTTTATTCTAATGATCAAAGTCCATTTTTACGATATATGATTTGCCGAATATAACTCTTACTTCTTACTTATTTTAATCATAAATTAATTACCGCGAGTTTTCATACACTCTAATAATGTTTTCAAAGTGAAACTTTTAGAATATTTTTCAATCTCTTTGTGATCCCTTTAAATGATGTTGTTCTGGAAGAACTTTAACATCCATGTAAACATTTTGGGTAATAAATTGTGGGACTACCAATGAGGGGAGCGGAATCTCTCATATGAATTAAATACAAAAATTCGTTTATATGGGAAACTAATAGAACTAAATTCTTCAAATTTTGCAAGAAGAACTTCCATATGAATTAAATAGAAAAATTCGTATATCTGAGAAACTATTAGAGCTAGAATCTTTAAATTTAACTGAAGAACATTTAGAGAATAACGGGCGGACTTTCAATGGGGGGCTTGGCACTTCTCATATGAACTAAATACAAAATTTTGTATATCTGGGAAACTATTAGATTATTCAAATTTTTCATAGATTAAATTAAAATCTTAATTGACGTTCGGAATAATTGGCGAAATTGCAATAATTTGCGTGGAATCTTCCATATGTTACAAATTGTATATCTGGAAAACCATTGTAGTTAGAATCATCAAAATCGTTAATCGTTCTTATTTATATTGCTTTTAGGGTAGCATAGCACACTGGGTATAGCTAGTAAATAAACAAATAAAATATCTTTGTTTTTACGTTATTGATCATTTTCTTAATGCAAAATTTTTTAGAAACTGATTTTCTGCAAGATTTTTTATATGGAGGATAGGGTTAAATATCGGCAGATCCTCGTAAAACTTGGAGAAAGGATTAGTTTTTAATTTTTAAGAATTTTTTATTTATCCCTCATAATTTCTCACACAACTTTTGAGCTTGCTCTGTTTTGTTTTTATAAACAATATATTTGCTTCCAAAATCCCACTTTCTGATCTCTCGGATTCCGTTTTTATTTAAAATCGTTGAAAATTTAAAAACTAAACGTAGTTGAAAACTTAGCCGGCTTACAGTCGATTTTAAGCCGCCGCCGACATATTTAGTGTCAGTCGCCGCCGCATGTTAATATTTGTCGGCGCAGGACTCTGATGGCAACCTTCCTTTGAGAACTTGAAAAAATAAAGTATACCTTTTAACATAGCATACTTCTCAGCATATAAATAAAATAAAGTTAAAATTTGAAAAATGTTAAAATCGGAAATGCAACATCAATTTTGGATTACCAAAAAAACTGTTCAAAGGAAACTTGGTTCTAAGGAGGACGAACATATTATTTCTTCCGATGCGGAACTTGATGCTAAAATTGAAGTTTTTAAATCAATATCTGCAACTAGTGTAGAATTATCGAAAATAATTGATCAATACCAAGAAAGACTTTGCATATTGTCGCAAGAAGAAAGTGTATTTGGTCGATTTCTGAAAGAAGCTGGAAAAAGAAGTAAAACAACTGGCCAAAGTATTACGAACACTGGGAAAGCAGTTTCTTATTGTGGCCAACAGAGAATGTGTGTACGCGTTCCACTCTTGAGATTGCAACACGAAGTGGATGTTTTTCGTTATCGCGCTATTACTGATACCCAAAACACTATTACTGCTATGGAAAAGGAGCGGACGGAGTATAGAGCAGCATTAGAATGGATGAAATCTGCAAGTACTGAACTTGACCCAGATACAGGTCGAGGATTAGAAAAATTTCGAACAGCTCAATCCCACGTACGAAATGCAAAACAACTTTTCGACAATTTGTCCATGGATTCTATTCAAAAGGTAGTTTTTGTTACTTGATTTTTTTATACATACATTAGGGTGTGCCCTAGAATTAATATTCTAAATACGAGAAAAATAAAAAAAATTTCTTCCTTGAAACGAGATTCAGCGAATGAAAATCAATCAGAACAATAGTTTAAAAAAAATTTAATCTTTTCGAAATTGCTCTCAAAAATTCCGTAATTTTGAGCTCATACCGGGGAAAATTATTAAAATTTAGTGGATTATATAAAGAGCATACCAAAATAATATAAAAGACCTTATAATATTCTCATTTCAAAAATATTCGAACAAGTTTTGTACCTTACATTTCCCAATTTTGATGAAACTTGGTGCACACATTCCACAGTGGGGTCTCCCTGAACAAAAGTTGGCATTAACTGAGCAACAATATTTTGGTATAAATTATGGGTATCGACGGATAGTGGAAGTCCTTTATATACGAAGTAAAAATGGAAAAAGTTGCAAATTTTTTTTGCAAAAAATTTTAAAATTTTATTTACAACATATTTTTATTACATTTATATATATCGTAATTACTTTCGCGAAAGACCAAATTTAATGCATCTTCTGGAATATTTTAGAATTTTTTAGAGAAAGTTCTTTTTACAGTTATAAAAGGTTAGGGAATTATATGAAGATCAGCTTTATTTCCTATAAAAGGGGCAAACATTTGAATTTTGGTGTTATTGAGAATATTTCAGATTATCTTTGTCGCTTGGATGCCATTGTACTTTTTCACTTTTAAAAATTAAAAAAAAAAAAACATAATTACTTATCTATAAAAAATTGCATTTTAAAAAGTCGTTAATAATTAAATCTTTGGCTGTAAAGATGATTTAAAATAATACCTTTTCATACATAAAAATGTTATATTTGGTATAGAAAAAGAAAATTTTCAGAAATTTTATATTAAATGTTGGATTCGTACAAAAAAGTTATGGTATTATGAAAAAAAATCTGGAAAAATATACATAAAACATAGACTTTGCTTTATCATCTAAAGTCCTATAGAATAAAAATGGGAAAACTAATAATAGCGTAAAAGTCTTAGCTTTTTAGGAATACTAGATTTTTATAAAAAAAAATTCTAAATATTTATTTTATGCCAAGTTTACTTAAAGGAGACCCCAATGTGCATTCTTTGTATAAATATGTACAAAGTTCAATGTTAAAATTTTTTTCAATGTCGAAATATTAGGCATTAATTTTGACATCGTAAGTATATTGTATAAACTATTTATCTGATTTTTATCGTTTTTGTCCCTGTCTTTTAGTTTGACAATATTTAATTTACAATTCTCAAAATAAGATAACTTTTGTAAATGCATTTTTGAAAATACCAAAATTTTTATGTGAATCAGAATTATTTGGAGAATAGAATAGTATATTTTATGAAAAATTACACAACAATGTCTAAATCTCAGGCATTATATGTACTATTGTAAAAGTCTTTTAAGGGAAGTTCTATCAACTTATGTTCCGTAAATTATTTATTTATTCAGTATTAAAAAATCCAATTTGGCCAAAATAATATTACATAGTAATTTAATAAACCTAAGTGTAAATACAAAGTTTAAATATACAATAAATTTCATGTTATAAAAAATATCAAATATCAAATCTCAAATGGGCTCCCCAGCCGTAAAAGAAAAAAAATAAGAATATCAAGATTTTCTTAAAAAAAGAGGAATGAATTAGGTCCAGTTATTTATTTTTATTTTTTCATTTATTATTCAACATCTTTACATTTAATGTTAGTTAGATCACTTGTAGAACAAGTAGAATAATGTATTTGTTAAATTTACTCAATTACAATAATATTGATTTTGCTTTAATTTAGGAAACACATTTAAAATCACATCATAAAGTTTATTTTGAAAATTATCACTTTATTACAGATCTTTCAATACATGGTGTAGGCATCACAACTAATTAATTATTATAAATTTAATATAAATTTATGGACTTATATTCTTCATTGAGATTTGCCTTTCTATGTGTACAGGAAATTCTTGACCATTTGTATTAAATCTGTGTACTCAGTTTTTCGTAATCAGCTCTTATACCCCTGTAAATGACCTTAAAGTTTAAAGCGCATACGATTTCGAAAGATAGAATTCCAAATTTATATAAAAACTTTGCTAATAACATCAAATGAAACTGACAATCTCTGCTTAAAAATAACATTATTTATTTCAATTCATCAGGATTAAAAAACAAGTAAGAATTTATAGTCCGGCATGGTCGACCATATGATTACCCTACACAGTGATTATGTTACAAATTTTGATTATTATACCCTTCACCTTCGTGAGAAGGGTATATAAGTTTGTCATTCCGTTTGTAATTTCTATAATAAAATTTTCCGACCCCATAAAGTATATATGTATATTCTGGATCCTTATAGGTAGCGGAGTTGATTAAGCTATCTCTGTCCGTCTGTCTGTCAGTTTGTCTGTCTGTCCGTCTGTGTGTTTGTTGAAATCAGTTTTTAGAGGACCCCAGATATCGGCGAGATACGAATCTTCAATAATTTTGTTAGACATGCTTTCGAGAAGATCGGTCTTTCGGTTTCATTGCTTTGTGTATTTTGTTTTTGTTTTTTTGTGTATTTCGATTATTTCAATTAGTAGACAAAAAAGGGATTTTCTAAAAGATGTGTTAAATGGAGGCATGGTGTTAATAAAGTCCTATCCTTAAAAATTTGGTAGAGAGATTAGATGTAAATGCATCAGTTATTTATGCAGAATATCTTCGTGACATTAGTGTTTATAAATGGATTTTGACCATCAAGTCATTTTCTGAAGCGGACTTTGTGGGGGATAGGGTCAAATGAAATGATTTTTAAAGTGATACAAGAACATTTTACATATTTATGGGGTTATGAGTTTAATATAGGCTTCGTCATTGGGTCAAAAGAAGAGTATGGGCAAATTTCATCATATTATCTTGAAAATTGCGACCTGTAGAGTGCGCACAAGGTTTACATGGACACACAGACGGACGGGCGGACATAGCTAAATCTACTCAGAAAGATTCTGAGCCGATTGGTATACTTTAAGGTGGGTGTAGGACCAATATTTGTTACAATTGGGTGTTACAAACATCAGCACAAACGCATAATACCCTCAACACTATAGTGGTGTAGGGTATAGAGAAGCTTAAAGAAAATTTGTCACAAAAAGATTGTTAAAAATGTTTGTTTTGAAAATGAGACTTTTTTTAAATTTAATTTTATTCTAAGTGTTTAAATTATATAGATAGAATTTACAAATTCCCAGCTTTCATTTTATGTATCATTAAACACATACAAATATTTGAAATATTCGTTTGAAATTGCAAGGGCGGGTTTCTTACTACTCAGTTAAACTAAAACTAAACTAGGCTTAACTTGCTGTTATGGATTTAAGATCAGTTAACTTTGTTAGTATTGCCAAGTTTTCAGTCAAAAATAAAACAAACAGTTGCTTTTTGAAAATATTTCTTTTGTAAAATGAAAATTTTTAAACGAAAATTTTCTCAAATCATTTTTTTAATTGTTCTAAACCTTAAAAAATTGTGCATCTGGTAAATTTGAATTGATTATCAAATTCACAAACCAATTTTAAAACTGTTATTATTATAAACAATTGGATTTATTAAATCCAAATTTTAGTTCTCGCACTGTACGCCAGATGGATAAGGCAAAAGGTTTCAATCGAGACTAAACAAATTTCAAATCATAATGTCAGCAGAGGCCAACAGATGGAGTCTCCCGCTCACTTAAATAGGCTCACTGTTTTGTTTACATTCAAATTAATTTTTTGCAAAAAATAATGGATTAATTGGTTATATTAAAATTTTAATTAATACCATGATGTCTTATATATCACTACATAGATAGACAGACATTAGTGCAATACTTAATAACCGATTTTTAATCATTTTTTTTTCTAAAATAATACGTTTTTGAACAATATTTTTTTGGCTCATTTGAATAGGTTCGTCATCTTTAATTGACAAAAACAGCAACAAATTGCATTTTTCATGAAACTCTTTTATTTTTATAAACATTTTTACAAGGTTTTAGAAAAGATTTACTAACCCAGCAAAAAATAATTGATGTCATACTTTACAAACAACATCTTAATCACATCTAAAAATACGATTACATATTTTTCGCTTTTATAAACCAAGTATTTCCTTACAAATGAAAACCCAGTTAAAAGTGAAGAAAGAGTTATAGAAAAGTCACTACAAATAACATATTCGACGTACATCAAATTCAGAATAAAAACCGATGAAATTTACATAAGCGTGTCATTGAAAGAATGCGGTTTATTTTTGACATCCAAATATTTTTTACTGCTTCTAATAATAAGATTAGATGTAGTCCAAAGTTGTCAAAAATGAACAACATCCCTCCAATGACACGCTAATGTAAAATTCATAGGTTTTTCACCCGAATTTGAAGCACTTCTGGTTACTAGTTGTGATGAAAATACTACATCTTTTTCCACCCTTTTTTTGCTGGGAAGGAACATATCCGCCGTTACTTGATATAACTCCGAAAATTCGAGGTGATAAAGAGTTATAAAGATTCTTAAGTAATGGCAAGGAAATTTCGGTCCAAGCCTTTTTAGTTCTTTCAATTTAGGTTTCTTTTGTGTCATACTGTCTGCTCGACCTATACACATTACGAGAAAGAATATCCGAAACATTTTTAATAACCCAGCAAAAAAGGGTGGAAAAAGATGTAGTATTTTCATCACAACTACCCAGCAAAAAAAGTGTGGAAAAAGATGTAGAATTTTCATCACAACCCAGCAAAAAAAGTGTGGAAAAAGATGTAGAATTTTCATCACAACTAGTAGCCCGAAGTGCTTCAAATTCAGGTGAAAAACCTATGAATTTTACATTAGCGTGTCATTGGAGGGATGTTGTTAATTTTTGACAACTTTGAACTACATCTAATCTTATCTTTAGAAGCTGTAAAAATCCGATATTTGTATTTCGAA